TTCAAAACTTGAGGCAAAAATTTGAGCCACAAAGCAGATTTGATGAAACTGCAAGAGCAAAGAAGAATATTTAAAAGTTCAACAAATTAATAATTTTATAGCTTCTACATATGCTCCAAGTTAAGACAAGAATACTTGGATCACCCAGTTAGAATTTCAAGTGGAGATATACAAACTTAATCCCAGCTGCTGATGATCTCCATGACAAAGTCACCCAGCCTGGCCCACATCTGAGTCTTCATGCAGACATATCTGGAGGATTGATAAGGGATGTAGTGGGGTTTTGAGCACTCAGTCACTGATTATCAATCTTAGTGGGTTGAGATGAAACTTCAAGCATATGGGGTAAAATACAAAAATTAAAACACAATGAATGAGCCAGTGTCCTTGCTCTGAAGGATTTTTCTGCAAAATACACTGGTGAAGAGGCATCATTTTCAGATGAACTGACATTTTAGCCCATCAGTGCTGACAGCCTGCTCTACACAGGACTTGTTAGCCATCTGCTGCAGGCAAGGCAATGAACATGTAGTCCTAGGTAGTGGTAAGAAACCACAATTACAAGCACAGACAGACTGCCACAAACTTGGGGAAACAGAAATTGTTTTGACATGAACAACTTAGTCTCTCAAACAGTTCTAGTGCCTACACTCTACAGAAGACTCCTTACTTGGTCCAATCAATCCTACGGCTAAATAATGAACAACAGAAAACATACTTTCAAGCTAGGAAGGTCTATCTGCAGCTAACCTTGCGCTTGTTAAATGTCCATCCTGAAATTCTCCCTGCCTTTATCCAGATCATCTTCATTCATCAAGAACTAAATGAAATGCCCCCTGTTCTTTAATTAGTTCTGTTTGTAGTAATTTATCTCTTCTCCAGATTCACTCATTCATTCAACAAATATTTATTGAACACTTACTATGTGCCAGGAATTGTAGTTGCTGTGAATACAATGGTGATCAAGACATACAAAGTCCCTGCCCTTACTACACTTAAAATTCTAGTGGAGAAGTCTAGGGCAACAACAACAAATACAAAGAGATATAGATAGATGTAGATGGAGATCAATAGATAGATAGAGATAGATAAATAATAGAGATGCAGTTATGTGACACACAACATTTTGGTCAATGAAAGAGCATATACAGTGGTCCCATAACATTATAATACCATGTTTTTACTTTTCCATGTTTAGATATGTTTAGGTACATAAATACTTACCCATGTCTTACAGTAGCCTACGGTATTAAGTTCAGTAATATGGTGTGCAGGTTTGTAGCCTGGGAACAGAGCAATAGGCTATAACATATAGCCTAGGTGTATAATAGGCTATGCCATCTAGATTTGTGTGAATCCACTCTATGATGTTTCCACAATGGCAACACAGCTAATGATGCATTTCTCAGAATGTATCCCCATCATTAAGTAAGAGATAATGTCTGTACACACACACACACACACACACACACACACACAGACACACACACAAAGACACACACATAGACTTCAGGAAATGTGCTATGAGGAAATGTCAACCAAGGTAAGGAGAGTTGGTAACAGCCACTGTCTGTGTGACTCACTATCAATATAACACCTTGTATTCTGATTTAACTTTTAATTCGTGACTGTTTTGTAAGAGTCTTAAGGGAGAGATGTGCTATCTTCATATCCTCCGCAAAGCCTACCTCAGGTTTACAGCAGGTTTTCAATAAACATTTGTTGCATTTCTACTAGATGAGATCCATTTGCCAGCATCATGGAGAGGGATTTTGATCTAATGTTGACTAATGGGCTGGCTTGAACCACACATAAAGATGAGACTCTTTGGGGATGGTTTGCAGCTGTCATAATGACAGATGCTAATTTAAGTCACAGAAATTTTGTTTTGAAATATGCATAGCTTTCATCTATGCAATACTTACTGTAACTACACTGTGTTGCTTCTTAAGATATAATACCTATGGTTTCTTTATTTTCTGGAATATCTCTGACTCCGTATATTTTTATTCTCTTCAAAATAAAGTTTGTAACTATATTAAACTCTAATTAGGCTGATGACTTGAATTTCATATTTAAGAATTCTGCTACATAAGTAAATCCATGAATCATGGGGGGAAAGCTCTAAGTAAAACAGTGTCTATGGATGCTCCATTTCTGTAATGTCTTCAATTTACTTATGTAATAGAAATATGAATGGCATGTTGTTTATGCCATTCTTTGCTCTATGAGTCAGTTACATTTTCCAGTAAGTCTATCTATTAAACATCTTTGAATGTCCATGACCACAGGACTGTCATGGGTGAAGGATGTAGGAATGCAGGCAACGATGAAACGCTGCACTTGCCCTGGAGTGTGGTGACCAGCTAGACACTTAATGTGCTAACTTTATCAGCAGCTTTCATTCCCCTCCAACTCATCGTGATTCAGAAAGCAGAGCATTCTTCCAGGATGACCCTCACACGTGGTTGTGGTAAATAGAATGTGTGATCTGAAGTCAAACAAATGGTATTCAAATCCTAATTCTGCCATTCCCTGGCCAGGTGACCTTGGACAAACTGTTCCATCTCTCTGAATCTGAGTTTCCTTGATGTAGAACTGTGGTGAGGATTAGATAATATATGATATGTAAATGCCTATTAAATGCCTTGTGCATAGGAGGCTTCCATTATGTTGTCTCTGTTTTAACATTATTTTTTTACTTATAACCACTTTGTGCCAAGTATTGAATAGGAATTTAAATAAAATATCTTCTAAGAATTCAAGGATCTTACAGTTTACATCTAGATGAGGAAAGATAAATATAAGCAGACAATTCCAATGAATGAGTGAATAGAAAGTAATGAGTACACTGCTAGAAAGGTGCCCAGATTAGTTTGGGAACTTGAAGAAAGATTATTGAACTCATGGTGTATGAGACCTTCCCACTGAATATTACATAGTAGGTCCTAAGGGGCACATTAAGGTAGAATGGGGAGAATGGAAGGGCAGTCCAGGTACAGGGAAAAGGGTGAGCAAAAGCATGGAAGCAAGGCATAGAATGGTATGTACGGGGAGCTGCAAGCCCTTCAATCTTGCTGTCCACAAAGTCTAAGACAGAGAGTAGTGAGCATGGAAAGATGAGCTGGAAAGATAAGTGGGAAGCGGCTCAGGGGTTAACTCATGGAGCTATGTCATGGTAAGAATCCTGAATACCACCTGGTAGAAAATTGATAGAAAAATGCAAGTAAAGTATTTAAATAAAGAATTGGCATGGCTATATTTATTCAAGCTGGACTGTAGTGGCGCGATCACAGCTTCCTGAAGCCTCTGCCTCCCAGGTTCAAGCAATTGTCCTCCCTTAGCCTCCTGAGTAGCTAGGACTACAGGCATACACCACCACTCCCAGCTAAGTTTTGTATTTTTTTAGTAGAGAGAGGGTTTCACCATTTTGGCCAGGCTGATCGTGAACTCTTGAACTCAAGTGATCCACCCACCTTAGCCTCCCAAAGTGTTGGGATTACAGGCGTGAGCCACCTTGCCCAGCTGACATGACTATATTTAAATACAATATATTGCATTGGTGGTTATGCAGAAAAGGGATTAGATGAAGATACAATGAAGTGTAGAGACACAAAATTCTGAACTAGGGCATGGTGGTAGGGATGGATTCAAGAATCAAGAGGTAATTAGGTAGGCCTTAATATAGCGAGGAAGAGGTAAAGGAGAACCCATAATTTTCATCCTAGGTGGCTGAAATGCAATGAATTTAGAAAGTCCAGGGATATTGTGAGGTTTCTAAGCTCACCCAATTCCCTTGGATCCTGAAATACCCTACAATTATAACAGTAGCTGGAATGGAGAGCGATAGTGAAAGCTGGAGACTTTCATGAAATAGAATGACCTTAGGGCTCTGTAGGCAACAGTGTACCACATACACCACGGTGTGGGATCAACCTCCTGAAACTATGAGTTTTACACAGAGTAAATGCAGGCCTGTGTGAAGTGACATGGGGTGCCTGGGAACACTAATAAACACACACCCCAACTTTCCATCTGTAGTGTGCACACTATGGAGGAAGAATAACTCCACTCAACAGCTCTGGAGGAATGGACTTGTACTGGGGGTATAGCCAGGGTTCAGGCAAGACCTAAGAGGAAAGCAATTTTCTCTGAAGGGAGCTTAAGGGTTTAGGGGGTTTGTTAGTAGTGGCACAAGATTTTCCCTCACTCAGTCCTATCAATTCCCATACTGCCTTCAGTGGTGCCAATATTAAGTGCTCTCTAATTTATTATCCCTTCCCCTCTTAACAGAGTAGACTATTAACTGTTCTGACCTCTGCAGCCATGTGTTCCTCTTCACTGATGCAGCAATCAATGCCCATAATATACCTCTTTTCTGAGAAGTTTCAAGTACCTCAAAACTCATCATGGTGGATGAGCAGCTTTTAAACTCTTTGCTCCTAGAGACTTGATGTAGTCAAGATAGTGAGTGTCAAAGGGCTTTGGTCATGATTGAGTCTCCTCATGGGGTGTGGTACAACTACTGGGAACCTCAGGGATACATCTTACTGTTATTTAACTGGTACCTGAAGATGGGGTTTCTCAGTGCATACCCTCACTAAACAAGACCAAACCGGCTGAGTTTGTCTAAGGATTTCCATTACTTTGCAGCATTGCAACCAGCTTGCTAACAGTTCTGAACTTGTGACTTTAAAATACATTCTTACTGAGAATGTATGTGAATACTCTGACTCAGCTAATAAAATATTTACAGGGAGGGATACCTGTAGAAGCCATCAAGAGCTTATATAAATTGAGGGAGGAGTTGCATCCTTGACTATATATAAATTCAAAATGATAAACATATGTCCGTAAAACACATAGAATTCTCTTTATCCTCTCATGGTTGATAATGCTACCCTTTCTTTGTCAACTTACAAAGTCAACACTAACAAACATATCTACTGAAATGTGTTATTCAAATATAGAGGTTATTGAAACCACAGCAGTACAGGAACTAAAACTAGATTCATTTTATTCATTAAACCCTGCATTCAATTATACTGGGGAAACTGATGGGTTCACAACAATACTTTTAAGAAAACTCTTTCCAGATAGCATGTACAAGGACAAAGACAAATCCAAGGTTTTTACTTTAGCCTTATTCTTCTCACAAAATAACCTGACCATGATGTTCATGGTGTTGGTGCTTCCTCTTCTATCTTTGGAATCCCTTGTTGGCTGTTTCAAGAAAATAAAGAATTAACTTAAGGTACACAACTAAGAGACACCTTGACATGTCGCCTGGTTGGTGAAATTATTTTGAGAGTGGCCTTGCCAACCTTGTAAAATGTAAATGAAAAGCACACTAGCATCGACAGCAGACTATTTGTGGTATGAGCATAGGAAATTGCAGGATCAAAGAGACTGCTTGCTTTTCAGGAAGATTGGATTGGCACAGAACACCCTTTCTATGGGTAGGTTTCCTGGCTGCTTTTTGGAATCAATTTTAGGGCAAAAGCTTGCAAGGCTGGAGGCAGGAAATGGAGAAGATCTTGCATAACAGCAGTTTCAATGATATAGTCACTTTTTTGTAGAAAGTAAGAGAGAGGACACTAACAGTTTATTTAAACAGAATGACTCAAGTTGGGTTCTGTGAACAAGGATTTGACAGAGTCCATGCTAAGTACATTTGCAAACAGACATGAGGAAACTGCTTGCATCTTTGCTTTTGTCTTTCAGGGTTGAGATTTTCCTTTGCAAGTGCTGTGAGCACCCCTGGTGCCTGAACACAAGTTTGTGAATGCTCATACCCAATTGAGAATATGTTGACATTTATATTTCAATAACATTTGCAAGATTAATTTTGTTTTTTCCACTGCTGCTGTGTGCAATGCAAAGAGCTTTATGTCTGCCCAGAATAATCATGTTTTTTACAATCTGTAGTTATATCTATAGGCAACAGATTCAGGCTGGAATCTACAGTCAGGAGTTAGTAACTTGTAGGATTCAGCAACTAATAACCTTTGCAGACTTGAAAAGTCCCATTCAAAAATAAAAGTGTCTGTGACCTTTCAGTCCTAGCATGTAATTAAAAGTGACAGGTAATGAGTGTTTCCACACTGGCCAGCAAAACAGGGCTGGGTTGAAGGTGTTATCTAAGCTATGATAGTTATGGAATGAAGCACCAGTTCTCTTTACTTATCTAGAGTTAAATTTGTTTATTAAAGTTGGAGCCATACTTTTTTAAAAACATAAAGGACTAGGCTGGGCATGGTGACTCACACCTGAAATCCCAGCACTTTGGGAGGCTAAGGTGGGAGAACCACTTGAGCCCAAGAGGTGGAGGCTGCAGTGAGCCATGATCGTGCCACTGCACTTCGGCCTCAGTGATAGAGCAAGACCCTGTCTCAAAAAAGCAAAACAAAACAAAACCAATAAAGGACGAATTGGCCATTATCTTATTTAATTTTAATTAAAATCAACATTTATTAGTTATTTTCTATGTGCCAAGCAAACTGAAAGAGATATACAAATGATTTACGCTAAAACAGTATACCAACAGGATAATCCATGGGCCACTACAGTGAATACGAAAACAAAAGATTGTGTCTGATATTAAAAATAGAATTCCAATATTTTAGCTCTAAAAACTTTTCCTCAATGTATGTTTAAGAAAAATACTAAATACAATATTTTTATTTCTTTTTTTGAATGAGAAGGGCTCTGGTTTTGTTGCCCAGGCTAGTCTCAGCTACTTGCTAGTCTCTGTATGCCAGTGGTCTTCAAATTTTCTTACTTCTGTCTCCTAAAATAAGTATGAAAAACTAGACACCCCTGTACATATTTTTAGGCTATTACTTAAAATACGTCAATATTAGTTTAAGAAGTGGCAAAGACATAATTTCATTATATTATACATATACTTATAAATATCAAGTGTTTCATTACATTTTTAAATAAAGGCAATAAATCTAAATACCATAGTGTTTTTATACCGATAATCATCTATTTAAAAGATACATGACTATATTGGTCCATTTTCACACTGCTATACAGATACTACCTGTGACTGGGTACTTTATAAATAAAAGATGTTTAATTGACTCACAGTTCTGCATGGCTGGGGAGGCCTCAGGAAACTTACGATCATGGTGGAAGGCAAAGGAGAAGCAAGCACCTTCTTTACAAAGGGGCAGGAAAGACAGAGTGAGAAGGGGGAGGTGTCAGACATTTATCAAACAACCAGATCTTGTGAGAACTCACTACCACAAGAACAGCAAGCAGGGAAATTCGGCCCCATGATTCATCACCACCAGGTCCCTCCCTTGACCTGTGGAGATTACAATTTGAGAGGAGATTTGGGTAGGGACACAGAGGCAAGCCATATCAATGAACATGCTCTTTGAAGATTGGACATTTTCCCAATATTTGGCCTCTTTGTGAAGTTTTTTCATTCTACTTCCTTCACATAATTTTGCCCTAATGTAATATGATGTTATGCTTGGAAATATTTTATTGATAGCCCTATCATATTTCTCTGCTGTAAATATATTTTGAAACTGAAAATTATAAGAAACAAGTTTTTTGTTTTGTAAACATGAAGCTATAAGTATTAAATTATTTTTCTTTATTGTGTTATTGTTACAATTATTAGTTATACATGGTTGATTAAATAAATGTAAGTATGTTTCAAATTTTGAAAGGTAATTATTGGGCAAAAAAAAGTAAAATGTTATTGGAAATCCACTTCTGAATGCAACATATTTCTTTCTCAGTTAGGTAAACTTGGATGAATATTATTTAATGGCGAAATGAAACAGGATTCAATATCAGTTCAATCCTTATTACCATCTTTTAATGCATATAAGTGCTGAGTAATCATCTGATGGAAACGAAGAGTTGTAAGTTACCAGATTTTGATCTCCTGAGTTAGATGCCAAAAATCACACAGTGATCTATCATCAACAATTATTTTTTCATGATCTTTCATCTGACAATTTTTAAAAGTCCTCCTTAAACAAAAAATAAGAAGAAATTGGGAAATCTGACTTATGAAAGTGAAACTAAAAGATGTACTTTTTATTTCTTGGGAACTATAGCAACTTGTAAAATATGTACAAAGACTCATCAAAGGATGTTTAATTCTTAACTAAATGCATTCTAGTCTTTTACTTAGAGGCACCTTATATGTACATTTTTTTAAATTAAGTGAAACTGAACTTTTACGTTTTAGGCTTTTTCCTATTTCCTGTGAACAAAGACCTATATCTTCTTGCCAAACTTCCATCTACTAGAATATATTAAAGCAACTTTAAAAGGGCATGGTAAATAGAGAGACAGACAGGCTTGATATTTAGATAGATAGGTAGCCAGATAGACAGGTTCTTATTTTCATTTCATAGTATAAGATTGTTAAGTGTATAATTATGAATCTGACAGAATTGGAATTGCATATCAGTATCTGAGAGGGAGTCACTGATCCTATTTATATAAAGTTGGCTCTCCAAAATCCAGTGCATTACATGCTAGATTGCATTTAGGAAAAAGTATGTTCTATACTTAGAAATTAACATCAAAAAGTAGTAAGGGCAGGGCTTAAAAGTGGATATGGGCTAGGCGCGGTAGCTCACGCCTGTAATCCCAGCACTTTGGGAGGCTGAGGTGGGCAGATCGCCTGAGGTCAGGAGTTCGAGACCAGTCTGGCCAACATGGCAAAACTCCATCTCTACTAAAAACACAAAAAATAGCAGGATATGGTGGCATGTGCCTGTAATCCCAGCTACTCGGGAGGCTGAGGCAGGGGAATTGCTTGAACAAGGGAGGTGGAGGTTGTAGTGAGCTGAAATCACACCACTGCACTCCAGCCTGGGTGACAGAGCAAGACTCCATCAAAATAAAAAATAAAATAAAAGGATATGAGTGTTGTTAAATGCATTCTTTACAATAGAATCCACACATATTCAGATTAAATTAATTTATATCATATATGGAGAATATAGAAATAAAATGAATTTGCAGAAAAGAGGTTGAAGAATGACGGTGAGAAGAAGCCTTGTTCCCAATAAACGAAAGTGGAAGGATATGGGTTTGTAATATCCAGTTATGGTTTGGTAGGTCATAATATTATTTCTTTTATAGGTCTAAACAAATGTGTAAGAAAAGCTACCCCTGATATGTTTCATTTTCACAAAAATGTCATGTTAATCTGTTGGAAGTAAGCACAGACATTTTTGCTTTCTCCTCCTTCAAATCATACAAAATTTGTAACTACATAAGTGTACTCTCTTGCTCTTTTTTCATTATTGAAAATGGTGAATGTACCAAGATAATGTGCCTCATAACTGGTTAACTATTCCCCAGCATCCTTGTTACAAATCTCAAATATTGTAAGGTAAGCTGGTACAGTGTGAGTATATCAGGATCCTGTCAAGAAAACAAAAAATGCATGAAGCATTTTAACATAAAATCTACTACAGGGACTTGTTTTTCCAGATGATGGAGTGTGAATGGGCAAAAGAGATCGCCGGAGTAACTCTGATGTACAATAGCAGGAGAAGCCGCTGTCTGAGGAAGAGGTTGGAATAATCACAGCCCAGAAGCTCAGAGAAAGAGCTGGGGCTCAGACCTCTGAAGAAGAGCATGACTATGCTGTTGCCATTACTTCTGAGAACATACCAACAGACTGGCTATCAGGTTTTCATAAGAGTCTGGAGACTGGAACCAACTGCTGCTGTCAGGCCAAGGTCACTGTTGGGACAATGCTGAGAGGAACAACAAAAACAAAAAGGGAAAAGAAAGCCCCTTCTCCACCCTCCTAGTCTCCCTGTAGCATCCCTGTTTCCAGCTGATGTGGTTTGACTCTGTGTCCCCACCCAAATCTCATCTCATAGCTCCAATAATTCCCACCTGTTGTGGGAGGGGCCTGGTGGGAGATGATTGAATCACAGTGGTGGATATCTCCCATGCTGCTCTCATGATAGTGAATGGGTGTCATGAGATCTGATGGTTTCAAAAACAAGAGTTTCCCTGCACAAGGTCTCTTTGCCTGCTGCCATCCATGTAAGATGTGACTTACTCCTCCTTGTCTTCTGCTATTATTGTGGAACTGTAAGTCCAATCAACCTCTTTCTTTTGTAAATTGCCTAGTCTTGGGTATGGGTTTATCAGCAGCATGCAGACAGACTGATACATGAGACCCTTATGGGAAGCTAGTGGGCAAAGGAGAAAGAATACCATCCCAGACCCATGGAATACTGTATAGAAAGGAAGGTTACCAGCTGAAAGGTAAAAAACTGCTCAGCATAAGGCTAGGCTTCAAGCCTGTCACCTGGATGCTAGTGGCTGCCTTCCCAACTAGCAAGCAGGCACCCGTGTTTTTCTTCCCACTATTGCATCCCGATGCCTGGAAAAGAGGCCAGCACTTAGTAGGCACTTAATAAATATTTGTTGAATGAATAAATGAAGAAATGCAATCCAATCATAAGTCTCTCTGATTGCAAAGCCCATGATCTTAATTCTTTTCACTGATGCTACAACACCTACTGCCTTTGAGAGGGAATCAACCAAAGAAAATTGCTTCCTACTTTACAAGTTTGCCTGCAAGGGGCTTTGGCAGCCCATTTTATTAATGTCTCCAGTGCTACGAGAGTAAGCCAGCAAGAACTGATAAGACATTGGCAGTGACTAATGACTCCAGTCTGCCTCTTTTCACAATACAGAAAGGAATTTTACCTGATGACCAAGTAGGCATAAAATCCTCACAAACAGACACAGTCCAGATTTTATTCTGTGCTAAAGTGGAACTGCAAAAACAAAATGATAACTGTTACAAGAATCTCAGGAACATTTCAGACATGCTTGTTTTCCAAAAAAGAACAATATATGTATATTACTATACTAAAACCTTTAAAAACTTAAGTGATACCAGTGGCAAATAAGAAGTCGTAAATAAGTCATGGCCTTCTTAAGCCCATGGATTTGCACCTAGCTCTTGACAATGTGTCTCCAACCTCTTTGCCATCTTCGGTCACAAATCACTGCATAACAGGCACTCTCTGCTCTTTAAAACCCTGAGACACCAGTGCCATTTTCATTTGCATTTTTAAAAAGAGAAAGAATAAGAGGAAGTTTTGCAGATTTAAAAAAAAAACAAAAAACAGATAAATTCTTCACAACACTATGACAATCCAGTGGGGTGCATATGTTCTAGTTGCAAGCTGGTAAGCATTTAGATTTTTGCTACCAGTCCCATTGGGCTCAAATAACCTTTCTCAATGGTGTCAGGTGCATGGCAGAATACCAAGTCCCATGCCCACAAGGGGAGTAAGCAGGTCACTGACATTTTGGCTGCCTTTTGCCCAGCACAGAAATTTCAAGCTGCCTTACTTTTAGCAGCAGCTGGGCTTGTGTTCTATAAGACTGAGCAGAACTCAGCAGAATTTCTTTGGAAACTTGTGTCTGGCCCATTAAGACCTATTCTGACATCTTACACATTATTTCGATAGTTAAGGCCATGTAAGGATGTTGTGAATTCCTGTGGCTCCTTTTGGCAAAAGTTGAGTGTTAATAGAGTTTTGGTTTTGAATGTCATGTACTGATCCATTGTGTTTTCTGGAAAGACAAGCTGAGTTTTGCTTGATGCTTAGTTTGGAGAGGATAAAGCTTCCCTCTTCCCTCACTACTGGGGTTGTCTGAGTATACGCCCTGGAATTCTGATCCAGGCAAATGGGGTACTAGGTTATTTTATATTCAGTCACACTCACCTATGGTGGATTTTATGACAAATATAGTATTAAAGCCAGAATTTAACTTGGAGAAATGAAGTGTTGGCATTGGAAATGGAAAAGCTTTGGTAGAGATTGTTTTTGCAACTCATGTAGTAATGTCAGACCAACATATGGCTTCAGGTGTATGGTGTCTCCTCCTTGGGCCTCCCTCCCCCACCCTGTCTGTGGGGAAGGCCTTAGGGCACACAGTTCAGAACCAAGCTGCCTGAGCAAAGCTGACTTGTTAGATCAGAATGGCTAATGGACATGAGAAACAGTGAGCCATCCAACGGCAATTTTTATCATTAGTCTCCCAATCCCACAACAGAAATCCTTTCTGTTTTGTCACCTCTTTATCATTGGTCTATGAGTCTGTCTCTGTTTCTTTTATTAATTTTTTTTTTCTTTTTTATTTTTTTGAGACTGAGTCTGGGACTGTCAGCCAGGCTGGAGTACAGTGGTGCAACCTCAGCTCACTGCAACTTCCTCCTCTTAGGTTCGGGTGATTCTCCTGCCTCAGCCTCCTGAGTAGCTTGAATTACAGGTACGTGCCACCAGGCCTGGCTAACTTTTGTATATTTAGTAGAGATGGGACTTCACCATGTTGACCAGGCTGGTCTCGAACTCCTGGCCTCAGGTGATCCACCCGCCTCAGCCTCCCAAAGTTCTGGGATTATAGGCGTGAGCCAGTGCCCAGCCCATTTCTTTCATGATTTTTTTCCTTGCTTTGTTCTCTTCTATCAGAGTCTTTGCTGTTTCATGCTTACCCCCATTGGTGGTGTTCAGAATTAAAAGATTATGGATCCCTAATTTAAAGCAATCTTTAAACTGTGGTCTGGTTTTCTATTGAGTGTTGGTGATCACAAGTGACAAAGACATTCTACAATGTTTCTAACATTGTAATTCATGGGACTTATGCTTTTATCTCTTTTATATAGCTGTAATCTTACCACTAAGAGCATTTTTTCCTTTATATCAATAGTTCTCAAAGTGTACTCTAAGGAACCATAGAGGTCATAGAGATCCTTTCAGGGAGTCCGTGAGGTCAGCATCTAAAAAATAGTAATACTAATATGTTATTGACCTTTTTTACTTTCATTCTTGTTTTAAAAAAAATTAGCCAAGTTAAATTTAAAAGAATTTAATTGAGAAAGAACAATTCGTGAATTAGGCAGTCTCTCAACCCAGAGCAGGCTCAGAGACTTCAGCATAGGCACATGGCTGAAGAAGGCTTATGATTTATGGATGAAAAAAGGAAAGTGACCTACAGAAAATGGACATGAGGTGCAGACACAGCTAGGTTGGTTACAACTCAGCATTTGCCTCATTTTAACATAGTTTGGAAAGTTGGCCACATTTGATTGGCCCAACAGTAGGCCACAGTCTGTTTACAATTCTATTTAGGTGATAGTTCATCATGTGCAGAGAAAGCTTTAGGCCAAACTTAAAATATATAAGGAGGCAGCTTTAGGCTAAACCTGATTTAAAATTCTCTTACCTGTGTACAGTGAAGTTTTTCAGAAGTCACAGGATGTGCTATATCACAACAGACTGAATGAATGCAGAAGCGGAAATGAGAATCCAGCTGTCTTCTGACGTTAAGGAAATTAGTAAAAATGTAAAGCAATGCCATTATGTTCGCTAATGTTTTTGTTTTAAATATATAGTTAGTTTTTATAAAATTATGGTATTTCTATTAACATGTAATTGGTATATTAAGTTTATTATTGTTGGTTTAAATGAATCAACCAATATGTTAAAAATACGTATGTTTTTCAATAGATCTAATCTACATAAAGAGAAACTCTCTGGGGTCTTCAATAGTATTTGAGTGTAGTCTTGGAACCAAAACAATTGAGAACCACTGTGTTAGATTATAGCCCGAGCTGTCAAGTATCAGCCTTTACATAAGTGTAAATTCTGTAAAGTACGTACCTTCTAGGAGAGTTTTATTAGTTCAAATAAGCCCTGATAATATGAACTCCAAACTACATTGGGAATCTAACCACTGCTAACCACTCTCATTAACTATATTCTGGCCCACTTAAACTGAAGTTATTTTCCCCAAATCTGTTTTATTACATCCACTTGTATCCCACAATAATCCATTCTGAATATTGCAATCAGGACAACCTTTTTAAAATGAACTTCTTATCATGTCCATTGCTTGTCCAAATCCTCTACTGGTTTCCCACCATACTAAAAATAAACTATTGCGTAGCCTATAAGATCCCACATGATCCCACTCTGCTGGTCGCAACCTCCTCTCTGAGCATTCCTGCTGGTCACACTGGCGTTCTTGCTGTTCCACTCATGTTATTCCTTCTGCCTAGAGTGCTCCTTCCTCAGATATTTTCGTGGCTTCATTTACTCCTTTGTTGTCTCTGAGTTCTCACAAAATAGTACTCTACCTTCATCCTACCCCATCCTCCTCATCCTCTTATCCTTCTTTATGTCCCATTGCCATTTCACTGCCTGACATTATATTTCATATTATTTGTGTATTTTCAGTCTCTCTCACTAGAGTGAAATCTCCATGAGGGCAAAGACTGACAGTTCTACTTATCACAGTATATCCCAGTGCCCAGAACAGTGCTTGGTACTGAATAGATGCTCAATGAATATTTATTGTGTAAGTGAGGCCTAAATGCCTCTAGAACTTTGTAGTCATGTGCTAACTTAACATGTGCTATGTACTACTTAGCTCTAGACCAGGTACCAGAATATGGAGATGAATAAAACACAGCCCAAAGCCTATACAGTTAATGAAGTCAATCTTAGAAGAGAGGTCCAGGTAAGGTGAGAGAGGTACTAAAGATAAAAGGATTTATTTCCGTGGAGAGGTTCACAGAAAGCTTTGTGATAGAGGGAATAAGTGAAAATACTTAGTGATATTGATTTCAATGTTATCTTATCTGGGCTTTGCAAAATCTTTTCACTTTGTTGTAGTCTTAGCTGTAATTATTCAAAGCTTTTTGTCTTAAAACAATCAGAAGATTCTTTGGTTCATTCCTGCTATCGAGAGTCAGTTCTTTCAATAGGTACAGAAGCAAAGTAACCAATTTTTGCCAGAAAAAAAAATAATAATAAACAAGGACACGAAAAAGAAGAAGAAAAGGACAAGGTGAGTGGCGACTACTACAGCTCCCTGCTGTTGAGGCATTTAGGCCTTGGACCCTAGATGCTCAGATGGTTTTTATCTTGTAAACAAACCAAGAAAGAATAAATTTCACAAGATCTGTCTAGTATCAGGAAGACCCACAAAATCCAATCAACATTTTACAGTAAACTTATAGAAAGCATCAGGTCAACGTGCTATGAAAATTCCCATGAACATAAAAAGATATGAAGATGAAGTATGTCAATGCACATGGCCCACCTCCACTTGTTGCTAAAATAAGAACCAAGGATTTGAAAGATTAATAAGAGCAGGACCTACAGTAAGAGGGAGAGAGTATGGGAATGAGGGTGAGACGAGAGGGGGAGGAAGGGAGAGAATGAAGCCTTTACTGAAACTCCCCAGTGTTTGGAAAAAATGTAAATATATAAATTTTTACAATAAATAGTCTCAAATACCACATAAATTCATGTCACCTCTAAATATTACATGACATTTTGGTACTATTTGCCTAAGAACAGAGATGAGCTGAGTCTAATGTCTCAGTGGTATTTCATAATGGAAATTTCACTGGCGCCCTTTTCCCCAATTTGTATGGATTTTCTTGTACTGCATACAAACCTCCCCAAGCTAGTCACAATCTTGATCTGTATCTCTAAGTCCTGTTTGAAAGTAAGCCTGTTAGGATATTTTAAGACTAGTAATATCTCACCAGACTTCCTCTAGTAGTCTCTTCATCAATTCCATCTAGTAGGGGCTGATTCCTAGATTACCTATCCTACCACAACAGAAATTAGTTATAACCAAACATTTTGTATGAGTGAACACTAGATTATGTTTAAACACTAGGTGATTCATCCATGTGTACTACCTGCCCTCTCTGAAATCTCACATACTACAATTTAAATTTTGTGCAGAGTGGCCATCCCTTGGTTGTTGACCTAGCCAGGGAGATCCATAATTTCTCTTGGTGCCTATGTGAAGGTCTGCCAAAATAATGAGTATATAATGAGGCTTTTAGCAGCAAGATTCATTAATCATACTCAAACTAAAAACAAGGATAGGCATTGGTCCATGTACTAAAAAGTCCAGAAATAAAGTGTGCCTCAGCTTTACCAGGTGCCCAGCAATGTCATTAAGAACTTAGGTTCTTTTTCCGTGTATCTACTGTCCTCTCCACAGTAAATACACGGAAAAAGAACCTGAGTTCTGAATGACATTGCTCCTAAAGCTGGTTTTCTTCATGGACATAGGAGGGCTGCTGGTAGCAATCAGTACCACAACTGTTTTGTTCACATCCAGCAAGAGAGACAGTCACTTTCAGAAACTCTTAAGAGTAATAATATTATTTCCCAGAAGCCTCTAGCAAATCTTTCCTTGAGTCTCATTGCCCTGAACTTCTTGTTTTGGAAAAGAGGATAAGCTCACCCTGACTGGGGGTCAGCTCTCAAACCTTATGGCTGGCGTACAATGGGGAAAGTGAAATAGAGGTGACAATCATGGTGTCCACCACAGAGATTCTGTTGTCTTATACCAGTTCAGGGCAGTAATGATACTTCTTTTACAGTCTTAGCTATATAACTATCTATAATTCTCTTCAGTACCAAAAAGCAAAACAACTTTTGATTGATAAGCCTCCCTACTGCTGATCTGTAAACAGCCCCAGCTTCTTGTTTTATTTGTACCAGTTTATCTGGATTCACTATTGCTCTCCACCAATGCCCTCTTTACTTGTAAATAACTGAGTAAGAAGATATTCTCTAGTTCTTGTCTTAGAAAAGAGGCTGGATCTTCATTCAACCTTATGGCTATATGAAAGAAGGCATTAATTAATGTACTAAAGTTGACCAGCTACTGAAGTGACCATGACAGGTGGTGGTGTTGATTCTTCATCCTTCTGACCATGGGAACCTTCACTGACCTTGGTGCATGTGGAGGGGTCATGAAGTGACTCCAGGGGGTTAATACATGTTGGCACTTTAATGCTGAAACTGCAGTCATTTTCTTCTATCACAGCATGGTTTCAAATGGCAATTCATAATTCATGTTATCCTATTAGTATAGATGTGTACTTCAGCAGATATTTGCCATGTGGATCTACTTGGTTCATCCAAATACTTTAAAGCCTCTGAGATGCTGAGGAAGAGCTGGACACAAGAGCATCTCCTTAGAGGCCTGAGATGGCATGGAAGCATTCCAAAGAAAATGCTCTGATGAGTAGAGATTTCCTTTAGAAGACCCCACTCCAGGCACACTTGGGCATTGCTTGGATATACACAGATGCTCCCAACAGAAATCAACAAATCTAACAGGATTTCTAAGGGGCTTCCAGTCACAATGAGGAGTTCCTCCATGTCTGCTGGAATATTTGGCTTAAGACTTTGTAATTCTCTCCTTTTGGAGAAGGATGATGATTCTTTCAAATCTAATACTCACCCTCGTATGAACAGGGCATTTTATATAAACTGTTTTCTTCTCCTTTTTTTTCCCCTAATACTAGGGACAATTAGTTTAAAATTCAATAAATCTCTTAGCTTGCACATTACCAGTATCCTCTTTTACCAAGAAAAGGGGAGAAGATGTTTACTTATATCCTAGCCATGGCTTCATCACGAAAAGAAGTTCCACTTTATATATATTTGGGTCTCTTAGGTTTTTGCAATACAGATTTTAGAGAATTGCTTTTTGGATATTCTTTGATCCAAATATTTGTTCAAGACACTGTAAACATGTGACTGGATACCAGGCCATGTTATTAAATATCAAGTGAATCATCACTGTAAACATCTCTGTGAAATCTCATGTACAGCAATTCGAAAGTACAGGATCCCAGGTGAACCATGATGCAGCCTTGGGGAAGATCCTGAATGATGGCTTTGCACTACACAAAGCCACAACTGGAAAGAA